AAGAATGTCCTTTCTGTTTTTAGTAGCGCTTGTTTTGCAAGACTACGTAAAAACAAATAGAAACTTCCAGAACCGTTTGCATTAATAAAGGAGCCCTCAAGTATATGTAGGTGTACGTTAACTACAGGCATTCTTGACGTAAGATAAATATTTGTAGTGATTGAGGTATAGTATACACAGACGTAGCTATGTGTGTTACGTGTGTATTGTTATGTATAGAGAAGTGATAGGAATGTTGTCTATCATCGTCGAACATCTATAATAGATAGCAAAAACTAGTGTGGAAGACGACAACTCAATAGTGTAGTCACGTGTTAATTACCTTGGTATGACAAAAAGGCACTCTGGCCAAGGCGACACCTCCGTGTAATTGCTTTTTATATTAACTTCGGTATAAATGATACGTGACCAAGGCGATACCGCATATAATGGACTCCGCCTATACTACATAGTACATGAATACATGCATACTGATAGATATATTTGAAAAAATAACCTTGAAATCTATCGGCTATACCTTATATAATTGTTTGCATATGTCTTGAACGTACTTATACATGCTATGCATACAAAAAAAGAGAGTGAGAAATCGATCACGCTTATGTCATGAAGACACAGAAATTTCAACCTGGGACAAGATTTTTGAGGTTCAATACGAAACTTTTTCCTCTCATTTTTTTTCTATTGTAAATGTATCTGCAGTTATAATGGTAAGCCCAATAACCCACGCCATCTTTCATAGTGTATGGCGCGTAAAACGTTACACAGTGACAAATTGATGACGCGATCTTGATAATCGTCTCGCTACATAAGATAATTAGGAAGAACACCTATTAAGTGGTGACGTTTCATAAGAAAGACGGGTGTGCTCTGTCTCGGTACATCAAGAAAGATTTACCTTTTCACTAGCAACCACGGGGTTGATTTGGTTGTATTAGGTCAAACGTCCTATCAACAGCAAAACGCATTTAACCCTTTCACCCATAGGTAACTTTAGTAGACTCTACCATACATTGATATGGATGAGCCCCTTATGGTCTAAAGCGGTGAAATGGTTAAGGACGTGTCTACATGAGTGTAATGTACGTGTGCCTATGTATATGAGTATTTGAGGCGGTACATTGGTGTGTTTGCCTCCGTGTGAATGCACGGATCTGATTCCAAATTAGAGCGCTACCTCGATACATCCATGCCGAATGCACCGAGCACGTGCAGCATTCCACCCGGTCAGATTGTAATGACACCGGCTAAACCAGTTGTGGCCACTACAGCAGGCCTATCCCTTCTCTAACTGGCAAAAACGGGGTTCACCTGTGATTTTTGACACTAAATACAGTTTTAAGTGATGAGAATTAGGCACTATATATGGAGTATTGTTATTTTCATGAACTAAATATTTTATTTCGAATTTCGAATTTCTAATAATCAAGATGCTATTTGTATTCAGTAACTTTCAGCTAACGAATACAAAACTTTGGTGTTTTATAAAATAGGGTTTGACGAATTAAGATTAAATACCAGAAAATCACGGAATTTGAAAATTGAAATGAAATACATCTTTTCCCAACTCAGCAGTTCACACAATACACGTGCTTTATTCCTCATTTTAATATTATTATGTCCTCAATATTCAATGTATGCTGTTCTAGACTACATTAATTCATATTGGTTCATGCAATAATCCTTTTAGAAGATTTATATTGTAACAACGCGACATGCTTCTGTGCCTGTCTAGATTTGTCATTGTAGTTTAATCGCCAAGAAAAAAAACTTATATTCTGCTGCCTTTATACTACCACTGCATGTGTATATCTATTTTTGAACAACAGGATCTTTGTAAATATTTATATCAACACAAACGGTCCTAAAGTCTGCTTCCACTAGCCCTCCTACGTGGGGCAGTCGCCAGGTACTCTCCGCAGGTCGGTGGTTTTTCTCCGGGTACTACGGCTTTCCTCCTTCACCAACATCTGGCTCGTCCCTAAATGATCACATGACGTAAACACAAACAAACCGAAACCAAACGTACACAGAATGTCTCGACTCCTTTTTTTCTAAAACTGGATCCGGAAAAATGCAGGAAAGCACTTGAAAAGTTCTATATCAGAACTTGATTTTGTACTGACAAATTTGTATGAAACAATCTTCGAAATCCGAGGGTTCCATTTTAGATACCTGTCCTTTAGAGATTATAGATAATCTACGCTAAATTCAAAGGCGATACATTTTATCGTTTTGCTGCTTCGCGATTCCTGTATCTCGCATCAAAGGGGCCAAGGGTATGCAGGAATCCGTAAGAGATGTCGTACTAGTTAACTCGTATCACCTGCAAGGTGCTGCGTACAGAGCCTTCGTTTTTGTAATCACATATTCCAAGGGCGATGTGAAAAGAAAATACGAACCGTGAACAGATGACATGCATTTCTAAGATGGCGAGAACCACGAAAAATATAGAGGAATATAGCACGAAACATACATAGGCGTTACGTGGTTTATTTGTCAGGTCCTTGTGATCTGAAGATACGTCATGTCGCGAACCCCTAATTCAAATCCGAAGGGCGTCGATAAGTACGGACACACATGACTGGGTCTCATTGTAAAACAAATGTAGATTTACTAGACTCCCGTAGTCCACTTCAATACTTTGAGATTCTGATCAGTTTACATTTGTCACATAAAATTAAACTCCAGAACAACGAAGAAACGAAACACTTGTTCGAAGATGCAGAAAGCAAATCAATAAAGAAAACTTCAATTTTGTACGGCGAAGATGTAAGAATGTGAAACTGCTTGGGCTAGTCACTGTGACGTGAGAGAGAAGGTGCTGCAGCAATCGGGAACCATCGGCACTTTCCGTAAACGAGTATTTTCTAGCCAGATTGGATGCAAGTGAATTTCGGTCCTAAATGATTATGGAACGCATTGCATGCCAGGCAACTAGTTGTTCAATATAAAAAAAAAGTTTTAAAATCGTTAATAGTCTATTGTATAATGAATTTGGTAGCGATTTTTTAACGTTTGCCTTCCTATTACTTATATCAGCTACCCGGTGTTAGGAAGTGGTCGCTATATAATTTTCCACGTGTAAATCAAATTATTTTTATTTTGAATGTCTGGGTCCAGCCATTTATTTGTCGGTTTTATTTGATTTCACTAAAAGCTGTCGTGGACTATGATATGAATACACTCTTGTCCCTTAGGTATGCATCATAACACACATTAAACAGGAAAACATAACAACACAGATTTCTTTTGATTTGTTTATTATAGGAAAATACTATCTGGTATAACATTTTGATGACGAGTATATAAAATTTTAAACATAACAATCTATTCATATCGTTTCCTTGAGCTCCAACGTGTAAACACTGAACATCACTCATACACAATGTAGTATCTTCACACATATACTGGGATATCACACAGATGAATTGAACATCACACATAAACATAGAACATCACACATATATACATTGAACATCACACATATACATTGAACATCACACATATACATTGAACATCACACATATACATTGAACATCACACATATAAATTGAACATCACACATATACATTGAACATCACACATATAAATTGAACATCACACATATACATTGAACATCACACATATAAATTGAACATCACACATATACATTGAACATCACACATATAAATTGAACATCACACATATACATTGAACATCACACATATAAATTGAACATCACACATATACATTGAACATCACAAATATAAATTGAACATCACACATAAACATTGAAGATCACAAATATACATTAAACATCACGCAGATGAATTGAACATCACACATAAACATTGAACATCACACATATATACATTGAACATCACACATATAAATTGAACATCACACATATAAATGTTTTTCTCCGGGTATACATTGAACATCACACATATAAATTGAACATCACACATAAACATTGAACATCACAAATATACATTGAACATCATAAATATAAATTGAACAGCACACATATACATTGAACAGCACACATATAAATTGAACATCACACATATACATTGAACATCACACATATACATTGAACATCACATATATAAATAGAACATCACACATATAAATTGAATATCACACATATAAATTGAACATCACACATATAAATTGAACATCACACATATACATTGAACATCACACATATAAATTGAACATCACACATATACATTGAACATCACACATATAAATTGAACATCACACATATAAATTGAACATCACACATATAAATTGAACATCACACATATAAATTGAACATCACACATATACATTGAACATCACACATATACATTGAACATCACACATATACATTGAACATCACACATATACATTGAACATCACACATATACATTGAACATCACACATATACATTGAACATCACACATATACATTGAACATCACACATATACATTGAACATCACACATATACATTGAACATCACACATATACATTGAACATCACACATATACATTGAACATCACACATATACATTGAACATCACACATATACATTGAACATCACACATATACATTGAACATCACACATATACATTGAACATCACACATATACATTGAACATCACACATATACATTGAACATCACACATATACATTGAACATCACACATATACATTGAACATCACACATATACATTGAACATCACACATATACATTGAACATCACACATATACATTGAACATCACACATATACATTGAACATCACACATATACATTGAACATCACACATATACATTGAACATCACAAATATACATTGAACATCATAAATATAAATTGAACATCACACATATACATTGAACATCACACATATACATTGAACATCACACATATACATTGAACATCACATATATGCATAGAACATCACACATATAAATTGAATATCACACATATGAATAGAACATCACACATATAAATTGAACATCACACATATACATTGAACATCACACATATACATTGAACATCACACATATACATTGAACATCACACATATACATTTTATGTCACATACGCACATAAGAAACAAGATAATAATAAAGCATCAACAAAATAATATTATAATTGAAAAATCGATGAAAATGTTTAAGGAAAGAATTACATGGACGACACCCGCCCTTACACATTGAACATCGCGTTTATAAACGGGAAGCTGACTTCCATTACATCCAAATTGTTTCGTCCTTTATACTACCTACAACTTTTACAAAGTTAATAATAATTGACAGAGATTTATTTTAATTCTCACCGAGAAACAAAACTTATGATAACAAGGGGAAGCATGTGTTAGTGCTAACATACGATGAGACATGAGTTACCTGACATATCTAGAGATTGTCATGTCACACATTTACATATCTAGCTGTGTATCGTATACACAGTGACACATTCACACCTATATAACTTGCTTGATTCAATTCATCAGCATGCGTAACGTTGTAATCGTTATTAACATAGTCGTGAAATCAGGCCACAGACCAGATAACGTTGCTCAGTTGGCGTCACACGAAGGTAGTGAATCTTTGTTTCGTTATGAGAAGACTTTTGATGGCTTTGCTGTCGATAAGTGAAACTTTGTCAACTCGAAACGACGAAGGGATTTTGTCTAGTTATATCAAAATGCCTACCTGACAAATGTGAAACTATTTTGGCGAAAGGACATGATATGTGGTCAGCTGTCTGTGCATGTATTTCAGGGTCATAGTTCAAACGGGTAATATTGACGTCATGCGATGTCAATTTCAGTGTCCGTCCTCGAGAACAATTCAATATATTGCTGTAATTTGTCGTCGCCTGACGCCATTTAGTTGATTAATTCAGTTTCACTACAAGGAAGGAAATAACACTGTTAATATGACAAATCTGTACGTAGATATGCCTAATTAAGTCCTTGTTAATTTCACATCATAAATATGGCACAGATTTTCTTTATAATATATATTAATCTTTCAATATTGAAGACAAAATGAAAAGAAATCGAAGAGCAGGTCATAAAGAGACCATGTACCTTTAATTTAAGCTGATGTGATGATCATAAGACCAGTACATGGTGAATAAGACCGTCGCCAACCCTTTAACTCATTCCCCCCTACATTATCAAACTGGATTTACCCAGTCTTTGATATGGTCAAGGTTCAAATGTGACTTTAGGGTTGAATATGTAAGCATATCGATCTCGGCCGGGTATCAGTCTGGAGGAATGTTTGCTTATCAGGTAAACAAACTCAATGGAGTAAGTTAGGACATAGGTGCAGTCATATACAGACGATCCTATACGTGAGATTTATCATTTCTTATCATTTGACAATCACATACAGGTAACGAGATCTCCTACAAAACATGTAGTGACCTGGTACCCACGAACTACAGAACACAAATATCGTTTTGACTTGTCGATATGACTGTCTGTCAGATCAATACGTGGTTTGTTCTTGACTCAATATACGTTTTTTTTTATCTGCATTGTTCACTAATTTACTATATGTTGAAGACGTAATTATTTCACAATGAGTTTCCAAAAATAATTTAACAGTCACTGTTATGTTGAAATCAGTCGAATCACATTTTTAAGCTTAACTCCATGTCTAAAATATCATATCAGGTGAAATATCGGACTATTTAACTGATACTGAGTATTGAGCTAACCTCCATGTTCAAAAATACCTTATAAGGTGAAATATCTGACTATTCAACTGATACGGAGTAGTGGAGTTTACCTCCATGTTTAAAATACCTTATAAGGTGAACTATCTGACTATTCAAAACATACGGAGAAGTGGAGTTTACCTCCGTGTTTAAACTACCTTATAAGGTGAACTATCTGACTATTTAACACATACGGAGTAGCGGAGGTTACCTCCATGTTCAAACTACCTTATAAGGTGAACTATCTGACTATTTAACACATACGGCGTAGTGGAGTTTACATCCGGGTTTAAACTACCTTATACGGTTTCCAAGTAAAACTCCATGTATGTAATACCTTATAGAGTGAAATAACGTATCGCTGAAATCATGTGTATTTTAAGCTTAACTCCCATGTTCAGAAATACCTTATTTAACTGATATGTTCAAAATACCTTATAAGGTCAATCTACTGGCTCACCTGTTGCCTATACACATATACAAGGTACACTCGAGTGTGATGGAATGGTTTAACAATTCAGACACGGGGCACGATATCACAGAGACTTGCGGTTTAGACATATTTCTACATACTTAAAGCAACGGACAAACAAGAATAAACAAAATATGATAACGATTAAGTCTAATTGATCGGACAGAAAAGTACGAAAATAACTATTATATAACGCAAGGATTACAACTAAATTTGGTTAATGTTTTTTGTTTAAATATTTGTTCGATATCAGACCCCTGTGTAAGGAATGTACTTACGTACATGGTGTGTGTATATATAGATATACAGGTCGTAAGGTTATGTCTAAGACGGTATTTATTTTACCGATTTAAGTTTAACAACAGAGCTGTGAGAGGTTTATCAAGCGTACACGTATTTTAATTGTTATTTCCTAATGCCTATGTATTCTCATTTGAGATCAAAAATACAAATATAGTGGTATACCACGTATGCCAAAATGTAGTTTTGGTGTACGAGGTTCCTAACTTCCCAAGTCAATGGTACGCATGTTTATTACAGAGTAAACACACGAACATTAATATTGATTTAAAGGATATAATATTTTTAATCCATTTTCAGCTTATTGGTTTAAAATCATCATGCCATAATGAAACACAATGGAACACAATCCTAAATGATTACTGGTGACCTACGTATACATTAACAACATTTTGACACACTTTAATCATTACCATTACCATTCAATAAGCTATTATTTAAAAAAAAAAAAAAAAAAAAAAAATGTCTCAGATTTATAAGATATTCACAAAATTAAGGGGTGTTACGCCCCTTCTGTTTGAATAATAAACTGTGTGATGTTGTGAGTTTCGGTTGTATCAAGCACATATGTGTGGTTCATGCAGTACTATGTTTTAGCCATTGAAGAATTTTAAAACCACATTAAGATGAAACATTTTTGAAAAGTGGAAGATATATGTTTAGCACAAAGGTATACTAGCCTGGTCTGTCAATACACCCATAAAAAAATCTATGGATGTATTGACAGACGAGGCTATAGTACCTGTATTTAGTATGCATAACATATGCAAGTAAAGTCAGGTCATTTCTTCAGGCAAGTTTTGAAAGTTTTCTTCAGTCGAACCTCGATCAGTGTCCTGATCCGTGTAATCTGCACTAATCAATAACTGTTCAATGTGCACAGGACGAGGTCGATAAGCGACAGGATGTTCGCACACATCCACAATCTGGTTGGACTTTTAGAACGGATATGATGGTCCGGCTAATGATACAGTGTAAGGGCTCTTTAGGCTAGGCCTTGATCAGCGAACTAGGTCATCTAACTTAATTATAACACCGAAACAGGTGGGAGGTGAGATACGCCGTATTTATTCTGCTCGGTGGAGACTGGTAACAGAGTAAACTTATCTCGTTTACTGCCAGGAGATATAAGACATGTATAAGGTTACACGGTGTTCTGTAGTTTATATATATAAAGTATATGGATTAACTGTGTTCTACACAACACAGGAAATACAGCCTATTTACTATGTAGACGTTGCTACCCTTGGCTCATTGGTTACACACATGTGCAGCTTACAAGCGGTTAAATGAGTAATACACACACACATACACACATATATATATGTGTGTGTGAACTGTTGTCAGACGACATAAAAGATGGTTTATAATGAGTGTAACTCACATATGTGTCATTTTGGACGACATCCAGAGAGCTTGTTAGTTATGGGCTGTCCCGATCACTTGCTCTCTGGACTGTTATCTGTGATAATCTGGGTCGTTTTTATTAAAATATAACATAGCATTACTATTTCTAAAATATTTTATGTAAAATGATTGATCCATATTATGCAACGTTATGCTTTATGCCATATGTAACTGCATATTTTTGAAAATGTAGCAATGTTATTATGATATATAACACCCAGGCAAACACGATATTGACTTGACATGTAATGTTGGCAGTTAAATGGTCCAACATTTTACACGTGTGTAAGACATCGTCACACAAAGGGACGTAGCAAGCCCCTGTTAGCGGGTCCAGGGCAAGGCCTTGGTGGGAGACTAGGAGGTACAACAGACAGTATGTGTTTTCCGTTTTGGTTTGATTCTATAGACAGCTACGCGCCCTGGCGTACGTCGCTCAAAACACAGGGACATGAGAATTTGGGCCTTAACCGAGGTGTTTCGATTAATTTTACCCGTTTTAAAGGGTTAGATCACAGGGTCACGTTACAATCACACATATGCTATACTGATATGGGTCACAACACACATAAACATACACAAGTTAGATCAATATTCGTTGAAAAAAATGCTACCCCCAATATGGTTTATACGAGTGTCAAAGTCTTAAGTATATGTTACTCTGAACAGTTCAGGTCCAATTTTAGCTGTAATAAATTCTCAGGTCCATGTGGTTCCAAATTGTCAGATCTGCATCTGTATCTAAAATGTATCCGGGACTAAATCGGGACTGCGTATCCTTAGATATGGTCAAATATAATTGTCCTTAAAAATGCAGGATGTATGGGTACACGGTTTGAAACATCCTAGAAGCAGTTACCCTGCAAAATACTGATATCGTCTACTCTAATGCTACCAGAATATAAACCTCTCGACGCTTCAAAAGCTACACCAAAAGGATGTGATTGGTGGTCCACGTCTACCATAGCCTGTGTCCAGTCGTTACAATTTGACAGCTGTGTGGTCCACACAGGTGCCCGCAATAGTGAAACTCCCCCGAAGTTAACTTGGGTGAGGAGAGAAAGTGCCCCGGATGACTGCGGACATATTTGATAGGAAAACTTCACACAACGAGGGATGGACGTGGTCATCATTGGAGAGGAAAGCCTTGCCTTATCTCCAGCATATTTACCTCCACCGTCAAACTCAATGTAGTAGCCTGAAACACAGAAACAGCAAATATAGAGCATTTCAATATGATGATCTTGGTAACTCTATAATTTACAGCAAAGTTATATATATCTAGTCTAGCTCGTATTTCAAGTAAACACTGCATATAGGAACTCGCCTCCTATAAGCACAACGACACCAGAACCTGTTTTATTTGTTCCACACCACCGATAAAGTGACCAGTTGTCTTAAGGTAGAAATGATAGTTGAAACCAGGGAAAGTTTTAATTGCCTTAACAAATATCAGAAACATCCTTAACTACTGTACAGTACAACTGGGAAAGAAACAGCATCATCAAACAAGGATAACAATTACAGAAACTGAGGAGACATCAAAACAACGACAGAAACTGAGGAGACGTCACAACAACGACAGAAACAGAGGAAACATCACAACAACGCCAGAAACTGAGGAGACATCGCAACAACGACAGAAACTGAAGAGACATCACAACAAGGACAGAAACTGACGAGACGTCACAACAACAACAGGAACTGAGGAGACATCACAAAAACGACATCAACTGAGGAGACATCACAACGAGAGAAACTGAGGAGACATCACAACTACGACAGAAACTGAGGAGACCTCACAACAATGACAGAAACTGCAATGTAGGGTTATAACCTCTATAATAAGACACCTACCAGGTTCGGCAGTGTGGGGGTGCAACCTCTATAATAAGACACTCACCAGGTTCGGCAGTGTGGGGTGGTAACCTCTATAATAAGACGCTTACCAGGTTCGGCAGTGTGGTGTTGTAACCTCTATAATAAAACACTTACCAGGTTCGGCCGTGAGGGGTTGTAATCTCTATAATAAGACAATTACCAGGCTCGGCAGTGTGGGGTTGTAACGGAGACATCACAACAACGAGAGAAACTGAGGAGACATCACTACAACGACAGAAACTGAGGCGACATCAAAACAACGACAGAGACTGATGAGACATCACAACAACGACAGAGACTGAGGAGACATCACAACTACGGCAGAAACTGATGAGACGTCACAACAACGACAGAAACAGAGGAAACATCACAACAACGACAGAGACTGAGGAGACATCACAACTACGACAGAAACTGAGGAGATATCCCAACAACGACAGAAACTGAAGAGACATCACAACAACGACACAAACTGAGGAGACATCACAACAAGGATAGAAACTGAGGAGACATCAGAACGACAGAAACTGAGGAGTCATCACAACAACGACAGAATCTGAGGAGACATGACAACAACGACAGAAACTGAAGAGACATCACAACAACGACACAAACTGAGGAGACATCACAGCAACGCCAGAAACTGATGAGACATCAAAACAACGACAGAGACTGATGAGACATCACAACAACTACAGAAACTGAGGAGACATCAAAACAATGACAGAAACTGAGGAGACATAACAACAACGACAGAAATTGCAATGTAGGGTTATAAACTCTATAATAAGAAAATTAACAGGTTCGGCAGTGTGGGGGTTGTAACCTCTATAGTAAGACACTTACCAGGATCGGCAGTGTGGGGTTGTACCCTCTATAATAAGACATTTACCACGTTCGGCAGTGTGGGGGTTGTAACCTCTAGAATAAGACACTTACCAGGTTAGGCAGTGTGGGGTTGTAACCCCTATAATAAGACACTTACCCTGAGGAGACATCACAACACCGACAGAAACTGAGGAGACGTCACAACAACGACAGAAACGGAGGAGACATCACAACAACAGCAGAAACTGAGGAGACATCGCAACGACAGAAACTGAGGAAACATCACAACAACGACAGAGACTGAGGAGACATCACAACTTCGGCAGAAACTAAGGAGACATCACAACAAGGATAGAAACTGAGGAGACATCATAACAACGGCAGAAACAGAGGAGACATCACAACTACGACAGAAACTGAGGAGATATCACAACAACGACAGAAACGGAGGAGACATCACAACAACAGCAGAAACTGAGGAGACATCAGAACGACAGAAACTGAGGCGACATAAAAACAACGACAGAAACTGACGAGACATCACAACAACAACAGAAACTAAGGAGACATCACAACAAGGATAGAAACTGAGGAGACATCAGAACGACAGAAACTGAGGCGACAACAAAACAACGACAGAAACTGAGGCGACATCAAAACAACGACAGAGACTGATGAGACATCACAACAACTACAGAAACTGAGGAGACATCGCAACAACGACAGAAACTGAAGAGACATCACAACAACGACTAATTGCCTTAACAAATATCAGGAACATCCTTAACTACTGTATAGTACAACTGGGAAAGAAACAGCATCATAAAACAAGGATAACAATTACAGAATCTGAGGAGACATCACAACACCGACAGAAACTGAGGAGACGTCACAACAACAACAGGAACTGAGGAGACATCACAAACAACGACAGAAACTGAGAAGAAATCACAACAACGACTAATTGCCTTAACAAATATCAGAAACAGCCTTAACTACTGTACAGTACAACTGGGAAAGAAACAGCATCATCAAACAAGGGTAACAATTACAGAAACTGAGGAGACATCGCAACGACAGAAACTGAGGAGACATCACAACAATGACAGAAACTGCAATGTAGGGTTATAAACTCTATAATAAGACAATTACCAGGTTCGGCAGTGTGGGGTTGTAACCTCTTTAATAAGACACTTACCAGGTTCGGCAGTGTGGGGGTTGTAAACTCTATAATAAGACAATTACCAGGTTCGGCAGTGTGGGGGTTGTAACCTCTATAATAAGACACTTACCAGGTTCGGCAGTGTGGGGTTGTAACCTCTATAATAAGACACTTACCAGGTTCGGCAGTGTGGGGTTGTAAACTCCAGTCAAATAAATCGTCTTTGTCGTTTGTGTACAGACATGTGTTACCACCGTTAAAGCTACAGCGAAGTTTTACAGTATCTGCAATCATACAAGTGGAATGAGATTAGGATATGGATTAATATATTATATAAATTTCAAAAAAATGTATCAGTATCCTTTTCAGCAATTTAAAATCCAAAGGTTCAAAGTCCCAGCATGTGCCACTACTCCGACGATACAATTAAAGGTGACTGATCGTGCAAATATGAGATTTTGTAATATTTTGATTAAAGATAAAAATGAATTGCTCCACAGCCTAACTATAAAATAGACAGACTTTTATTTCAATCGTCAAAACACATATACCACTGTTCACCAGCATTGCAACCGGTCAGGTTTTTTTATCTCTCGAACCAAACATATAAAGCTAACATGAATCATTCGATTTCTGTTATGATATATTCAATATCGACAGGGTAACCATTGGATTTCGAAGATGCATTTTTCTGCGATATTGTAATAATTAAAAAGTATTTAGCACATATAAAGCGCAGTCTTACAATTATCAAAATAATCATCAAACTTTTTATGAAAAAATGATGTAAACGATTTGGTGTGATTAGAAATCACCTTGACAATATCCATCAGAGAACATGACGTCATCGATGGCCACGCCCACATTTTCGCGAAATCCTCTCACAGCGACTAGGTTTACTTCTGTGACATCATCGTCGATAGTGATGTGCGCAACATCCCATGAACTAGAAAAAGAGGATATTTCGGACAGCGTCCGGGTCACATCCGGTGTCACATGACCAATAATCTTTAGTTTGATGTCGGACTGGGCTCCATAGAAGAAGATTGCCAATGACATGCATTTAACTTCTTTCTTCAAAAATGGAGGGATTTTCAGAGTTGCTTCATGATGTGACGTAATCAGGCCGGTTGGGTTTTCAGCGTACAGGAAATGCCCTGTAATGAAACAAGTACTATCTTGGGGTTGAAATATTCCTTGTAATGTAAAGCGCTGGGGGAAAGATGAGGCTTGAGCAAGTCTATCAATGAACTCACTATATGGATAACGAGTTAGAAATGTAATTAAATTTGCAGCAATTATCGGCATCAAAATAAACAAGGGATGCCTGAACTTTCAATAGTTTTGCTCTCTCCAATGGCTGATGATGCAACAAAGAAATAAACGTAAAAAAAAATCTCAAACTTTATTTTTATATTTATTTATATTTTTATATTTATTTCAATGAGCAAATAATGTATAATATCTATATGAGAATTCAATGCATTTAGTATAAAACTAGTAATATTTATTTTAAAACTTTTGAAATAATAATTGAACTATTCAAAATGAATAAAGCACATTCCATTGACACTAAAATGATCATATACCAGTAGCGTTTCCCAAAGTGTAGTCAAATGTAGGGTCACGTGACCTCCGGGTCCACATAAATCCGTCCAGAGAAACGTCAATATGGCCACAAAGCCCCGGCGTTTCATATGTGCAGTCGTGTTGTCTTCCTGAAAGGAAATAAACCTTCCGTTCCATATGTACGTAACCATCCTCGATAGTCCAGGGGTTACGCTCAGTAATCATACGTATGTAAGTGAAACCCCCAAAGTATCGAGGATGGTACTTGTCCATAAAATATGTGTGTGTGTAAAATAATGTGTAGACTTACATACTGTTGTTATGGCACTACAATCATAAAGTACATATATCGACTTAATTCATGTATACATAAAGAACAGCAACATTCGACTACTTAGTATATAATTTTCCAATAAAATGTCTTAACTACTCGGATAATTGAAAGGGGGATTTTATTCTGACATTGCATCTTTTAATAAATGTTATTTCCCAATTATAGCCTACCTTCGTACATTTAATCAATCAAATCTTATACAGAATGCATTATCCTGCACTAGTTAACCTTTTCTAATTATTTATTGTTCTGTTTCATTTTCTTAAATGATAACTTTTTGGTTCGACTCTTACAAGAGCCAAACACAATTATGTATAACACGGAAAAACATGAAAACAAAAGAAATTAAAAAAAGCTCTATACACAAAGCATTAAGTATTTTTTTTTACTTCTTATATGAGCAAAATGTTTAACAAAGTATTAGAGCTTTCCAACATAAATAACAGGAAGTTTAACACCGGCTATAAGGACCATACCATTGATAGGATAGTCCAGCAAAAACCTTCGTCTCTTCAACGGAGGAAGGCTGGCTTGATTGCTTCATATGAACGATGTACCAGATTTAACATAAATTTTAGATACTATGTCTATATCATATTGGACTGAATTCTCACCAATATTGTAAAGCTATTGTTAATATTATTGATTGTGTTGCTTTGCATTGATACGTACTGCCTTTCACTTCACCATTTAAGTAAAAAAAAAAAAAAAGTAGAAAATAACGTTACTAGTATTATTACCTGCTTGGAGCAGGTGTTGGCAATTAAGTATATAATACCTTGTCAATATCTTGACATTAAATAGTTTCGGCGTTTTAAATCAGTAAATAATAACTATTACTCTTGCTGTAATGTATAAATGACACAATACTTCNTGCATAACCATTATATGAAAGTTTCAACGAATTTCGCTGGTTAATTACGAAAGTGTGGAGCCACCTTAAGAAAAAGTATAACACGAAAGTAGAATACCGCTGATCGTTCCAAGGGAAGTAACTCAAAAGCTTCTGTGACTATAATTCCATTTACCGCCCAAGTACTAGCACCGTAGCTGCCTACTCAAGTAATATATGGAGAAAAGTTTATGTACGTAATATCGTCATTATTCCTTTGGCAGTAAGCGATCAAATAATCGTTTTGACAGATAATTACACTAGATAACAATGCACATGTAGTTTTCGTTTGAAAAAGATGGAATGTCTTACCGCCGTCTGCTGTAATGCCTGTAATCCAGTCTCTGTATTTGTCCACTCTTGTGTAAACTCCGGGTTTCTTTGCCTGGCCACATGGGGTCTCACCCCAGCTGGTGATTCCAGCCAACACCCACCTGTCTGCGCTGACCTTACACATTAGCGGCCCACCACTGTCACCCTGTAACCATGGAAACGGAGATCAAAATTTGATTTTTTAAAGACAAATAGTATAATGTTAAACGAACAAAGTCCACGTGTTGAATATGTTATACAAGTGCACTGCTTATTTTGATCCAGCCATTAAACAAAAATACCCATTTATAAAAAAAACAGGCTCTTGAAAATGCTTGAACTAATCACAAATTTTGAAATAATTAAATCACAATTCACGAAGTTTGACTAATTTACAATGTGGACACTTATGGGAAATAAAACGCAATGTATCATATTCTAATAAAATCATACAACACCAGCATTTGTGTTTTATAAATGAAAACAATTCCTCTCTCGATACAAATATCTTCTCTGTACATCAGGGCCCATTTTCATGAAACCATTCTCATGATCAAGCATGGATTTTGTGCTCAAGTTTAATTTCTTGTTTCAGTTATAAATTATTAAAAAAAAAAAATTTAAGTTTGGGATACAAATTGAAGAGACTCATAGCCGAATACTGTTTTCAATATCTAAAATTAACTTTTTGATCATTGACATGTGTCTGGTAAGTTACTTGAGCACAGAACCCATGCTTGAGCACAGAATCCATGCTTGAGCACAGAATCCATGCTTGAGCATGAGATCGGTTTCATGTATACATACGAGCCCTGGACTATATCGTGTCAAATCGAAGCCACGTGGTAAGCTATCGGATTGCTTTCAAGTATAAAAACCTGACCAATCTCCAGACTGATATGGGATACCTGTCTTTGGAGGATTATAAACGAATTAAACCAGAACTTCAAAGCCTGTCGATATAACCGTTACGCTGCCACGCGTTTCCTTAGATCTTCATCAAGGACACCAGGCTTTTCACTTGTTTTATCCGTAAAGAATCGCGGGAAGAGCCTCCGATTTTGTCACGACGTATATAAAGGGTGCAGAGAAGCTGTGTGTACGATGAAAGGAACCACAGGATGCACTTTACCTTGCACGAATCAATCCTGCCGAGGTCGTAGCCAGCACACAACATCGTATCTTTAAGCTTGCCCTGGTACGAGTCCTTACATTTTGAGTGTGTCACGAGCTTCATTTTAGCGTGGTGCAGAAAATCAGGCATAACAGTAGAGTAGTAATCTGCAGCAGGTAAAGCAAATTAAAGTTAAACTTCGATAAAAAAAAAGGGTCTTCAGAATAATAATGACTTTAGTGTTGATTAACAAATACGGCGAAAAAAGCAGCATGTGCCGAGAAATGTAGGATTTGTTTTTAATTTTTAATTTGTTTGACGTTCGTTTCATCTTTGCATTTCTTCGTGTGTGTTTCTGATATAGGTTTAATTCCGTATTATAGACTTTACAATGTTTGTGGCATTTTGACGTATACTCACATCCTTGATTTATACTTCATATCAACATGGCTTTGTGATGCAGGTAGACTTGTTTATTATATACCCAATATTAGGTATAATTGTGAGGAACGGTCACTTCCTTATTATATACGTTACATCTGTATGGACTTTTGAGGATTTTTTACATCCTTGATTGATACTTTATATCACATGTGGCTTTGTGATCTAGGTAAACTTATATATACCCAATATGACGTAGCTTTGTGAGGTGTGGTTACGTCCTTGATACATATCTAACATCTATGTGGCATTGTTATGTATGTTAACTTCCGTGGTGTAAACGTTAAAATATGTGGTTTTGTGAGTTAAGTTTACTTCCCTGTTGGAATAGATTTAAGTTTAGTGTTGTATACAATAATACATAAACCATGTTTTCCTTTGTGTAGTGGTAAATATTTATATTTTGTACACTGAAAATGTTTGCAGGAGTTTAACTTCGGTTCTTTTGAAAATCTCAGGAAATACTCAGGAAAAGTCATGATTGTAGACATCAGAGCAATGGGCTGATAAATGTGACTGGTGAATTTTGCAGCTCATTGAGATTTTTTTATCAGTACGTAAAAAGTATGAAAGTTGTCGTACTGGTTTGTGTTATTCTCCCCGTCAACAAAAAAAAAACCATTGTGTATTGTTTTTGTTTTTTTGTTTTTTTTTGATCGACTCGTATAAAGCAATATCTCACCTGATACTGAACGTACACCCCAGCCAGAAACGTAGCAAATGGAACTTCCTGTGAGTGCGTACGACTCCGTTGCTAGGCAAAGGGGCTTCACGTGGTCGGTGAAAATAACTGGTTTTTGCAACCTTAGCAGCGCAAGATCTGCCTGGTAAATGAAGTTATTATCTGGATGTATGATGACCTCTGTGACCTTAAAATGTACGCCGTCCACTGGGTTCATCGCAACGGAACCTATCATCACATTCAGAAGATATGGTCTTGCTGCTACTCTAAAATACAAATATCAGAGTGTGTAACAGTGCTTCATGATATGTCGATTTAAGATTTTGTATCATACCTCTATTTATATTTGAAATGAAAATGAATAGCAAGTGAAGAATTTCATGATTGAAACATTATTGTGGCATAAAAACGAGAGAAAACGAATTTTTGCACAATGTATACTACATTGTACATAAGTAGATTGAAAGGTTCCAAAAAGTAATAAATGAACGTAATGCTGCACAAGTAGTATTCCGTCTGCGTATTCCGTCTGCGTATTGCAGAGTTATCTTCTCTTGGGAGCAGGTGTTGATCGTTACGTCATTGGTTTGTGTGAGAAAATTACGTCGTTTTCTCAAAATTGATGACGTTACTCTCACAAACAAGTGACGTAACAATCAATACCTGCTCCCAAGAGAAGATAACTCTACAATACGCAAAGACAGAATATACGTAATAGTGTACATATTCATTGAAATTAAAAATAAATTATCGATTTATTTTATTGATTTAACAACTAAATCAACCTCACTTACGACTCGATACAGTGGCTAGCTGTGGCAACCCACTGGTGTCCAATAAGTGTGCCGCCACAAATGAACTTCTGGCTGATTTTAATGGCAACCATCCACGGCCACTGGCCCAGGAAAGACTTTGTCCCCCCTATGATATAGGGCGTCATCAAATTCGGACTTCTTCTACCACAGACTGGGAACATAAGGAGTTCATATTTTGTAACGCACTAGATCTTATAGATGAAAATGTTAACGTAGTATTAACGCTTAAAATACAGTACACAGGAAAATGTTATCATAGTTTTAACGTTTAAACAACTGTACACAGGAAAATGTTACCATAGTTTTAACGTTTAAAATATTGAACACAGGAAAATGTTACCGTAGTTTTAACGTTTAAACAACTGTACACAGGAAAATGTTACCATAGTTTTAACGTTTAAAATATTGTACACAGGAAAATGTTACCGTAGCTTTAACGTTTAAATAACTGTACACAGGAAAATGAGATTATGAGAAGTTCTTTTTCACCTTCATCAGACAAATGACAAATGAAGCTTTTGCACACAAAGATGTTAAAATGCTAACAAAGCGTAGCTGAACTGAGTCATTTCGGTACATATATAACAACTATTGTACATACGTTTCCAGCGTAGCCGAAATCGACATCGATTTTGTGGACAACTCGTACACATTTTACACCTTTTGTGTGCATACGCTTCATTTGTCTATATCGTACTAGTCATCGAAACGTCACATAGAAAGTTTTATTGGTTGTGTAAAAAGAACTTCTCATAATTCATACTTACCAACCTGAAGTAAATGTTTAGAAAAGATCCTAATAGAAATATTTCATTTGAATTGAATTTAAAATGAAATTATTTTTGACATCATTGAAGTGTTTTTTTATTAACCAATAACTGAACAGTTGTCCATCACGATCTATACAACATAATTTGCTATGCGTTCTTTTCTGCATCTTCTTTATATTTAGAACATTATTTATTGTTTATCCTTATATAAACATTTTGTAAAAGTTTAAATTACATACATTTCCATTGAAGTTTTAATTTTGAATATAATTTTGAAATATTTGACATTAACGTAATAAAGGCAATTTTACCATTATTTCCGCATTGGAGTTGTACTTTCTGGCCGCTGTTACAGGTGACCGTTGGTTCGAACATCGATTGTATCGAGTTAAATGCCAGCGGTGGGTCATCCTTAAGCGTCATAAACACCAAGTTATTGGTGTTTACTGGCGTCATCGTTATAGAATCACTGCAATTATAATATTCATTTTCAAACAAGAATATGCAATACAGATACTTATGTTTAAACGTTTTCTGGTAAATCTAAAACAAATTATACATCGATAACATCCTGAAGTTAGTATAAAGACACAACGCAGTGTCATCACAGAACCTGAGAAAGGGCTAAACATGATTATAAAAAGGCATAACGAAATGAACTGAGGAAAAATACCAATATAACAGGAAAGGCACATGAAGGAAATTATATCTGTCCCTATCCTCGATATCCAGGGGTTACGCTTACTTCCGCTCTCTACACCCCTGGAATAGGTCATAGAAAAATTGAAGGCACGAAGATAGCTGTTTGATTTGTGTCAGGTAAAAAAAACCCTGACCAATCGCTAGGCTGATACCTGTCCTTTGAAGATTACAAAGGAGAGACACCCGACTTCAAAGCCTGTCAATTTTTACCGTTACGTGACCGCGAGATTATTTTGATGAATATCAAAGGATCGAACTAGCATTCTTGTCTCATCAACAAGATGGCGCACACCGAGCCTTCAATTTTGCTATGACATATTCCAGGGGTGGAGAGAGCGAAAGTGAGCGTTACCCCTGGATATCGAGGATGACCTGTCCCAACAATCTTAAACTCGTCTTTTAGAATCTCTGCCCTGTTTTGCAAAACAAAAGAGAATTCTACTGAAGTTTTTTTTACTATCCAGTCACTTCCCCTTAAATCTGTTTTGGATATAACTGTAGCGCTACTTGGCCAGGATACTTTCGTGGTAAGGCTATCCTTAGTCAAATAAAGTTGACACATAATATCTGGCTGGAAATTTGGACATGATGCCGATTATATAACATGCTTTTCATGATCAAACCTCTCTGTTAGAACTTATCTTTAAATATTTAACGGGTATCAAAACCCCACATCTATCCAGACATTTCTGATATTTACATGACTGCTCTGCACTGGGAGTAGATGACGCTAGCATGTTACTACTGAGGGAAGGATATTAAGCGGTCGTGAAGATGTAAAGGCGTTACATTTGTCATTAGTCGTGACTTCCATGGGCATATAGTATATAAGTGAAAAGATAAGAAGCTGAAGAAATAAATGTGTCTGGATGTGAGAAATTATTAATGTATTTATCTCCTTTCTAAAACTAAAAAAAATTCAATAGACAAGTCAATCACATAATCTGTATCAAGTTAAAATGTGCCCGTTTTTATATTTACTTTTTATATTTATTATATAATATATTTGTATATGCTTTAATAGAATATATTGCTGATTGAAACTGTAATGAGTAATAACAAACCAGCATACCTACATATTACGGAATACAAGCATAACAATCGCGGGAGTCGTGGAAATACAATTTTAAATATGACAGATCAATAAATAATGAAACTTTTGTAACGAATTTTTTTATGAAGCATGTTTGTCACGTTACATTTCAATAAGATTTTTACCTGAAGACGAGTTGTTGACATATGACGTCACTTGCGTCTGTACTCCAGTCATCACTGCACACCGGATACCACTTCGAGTGATACATAACCCGCACGGACTGATCGGCAGTTCCTATGGAAACTGAACCAAACAAAATAGTTAAGTATTTTACTCAGAATCTTGTTTTAAATTCTTCTTCAAAGCTGACATTTTGTCATTTGTTTCATTAATGCATAATATTTTTATTGTTATAGTTCACTTCTTATTTCACTCTTTGCTTTTATAATATGCTCCGTTATATGCAATTAATACTTGTAATCGTTACCATGACATGGACTGTTTGCATTATGCTTAGAAACAACAAGTTAATTGTAAGAATTCGATCTTTTTTCATTCTGACCACGAGAGTCAGGCTACATACTGCAGTTGTGTTCGTCCAAACCCTCCGCACAATCGTCGTGTCCGTCACAGCGTAACAATTCAGGAATACACTTGGCATTGCCACAACGAAACTCTCCAACCAGGCACATTTCTTATGAAACAGAAGTTATAATCACCAATAAGAATGACCATCATAAACATAATTTTAAAATAAAAATACTCGTTAGTGTTTATGAAGATTAAATCAAAAATCGAATTGAGATTATTTAAGAACAAAACACGAACGCGAACTTAACTTATGTCGCCAAATATTATCGCTACTTGTTAAGCACAAATAACAGTATAGTGTTAACCAATACAAAATTGCAAGACCGCTGCTTTTAGGAATAGAGCACTTCCTTGGCACATCTCTCCATTATTTTAGACAGGCATATAATTTATTTTTCAGAAAACTTGTTCAATTACTTGTAATATCCTTGATGAATCTAATATGATATCGTGCGAATGCAACAAATGTTTGTCAAAAGTATTTAAACTTTCAAAAATATTTTCAATCATGTCACATTACAGAGGAACTCGGTGTTTTGATATGTTCCATGTATGGTTTGATATGTTTGAATTGAACAGTTTCATAAATGTCCTGTAAAAATTATGTGTGATTGTCATAATCAAACATTCATATACTGATAATATATCTTCCTAAATATGACCATACATTATTGATGACAAATTTCGTTTGTGTATTTATTATTAATTACTTTAAAAGACTGTCCCTTGCCCCTGTAGGACCTCGGATCTATTATTTGCTTTCTATAAACTGTTTCTCGGAAATTAACGTAATCTAAAACCAAATTCAACACACTCTTATTTTATTTTAAAGTGCTTTGATCTTAATTTTGCATGTGACACTCATTTGAAAACATCTAACTGCAATGGCATATCTCCTTATTGTAAAGGACCACTTATTTGTATGTCATTTCAAGTAGCTTGCTTCAAATGACACTGGAATGTTGTAATGACCTTAAACCTAATGCAAACAAACAGTAACATAGAAATCTTGTAATGAAGTTAGGATATTTTAGGATTGAGAAAAATCTTGAAAATAACAAAAGCATAAATGTTATTTTTAAGAATTTTCTTTGAAATTATATCCTACACTTTGCATTGGAATTGAACAGGAAAGCCAATATCATTTTCATAAAATTATTATTTTTGTACTCGCAGATGTGTTAGGTTAGGAAATTATCCAATCATTGTAATATGCAAAACTCAAGCCATTTAAAGTATTTTAAGAAGAAACAGGATTTTCCGAAAAATAAAGAAATACTCTTTTCCAGACTTTTGAAGAAGGAACCGTTTTCAAAGAAAATTAAGCATCGATATTGTTGATACTACTCCAATTTGTCTCCATGAAAGATCAACTTTCGATATTGCTTTGTTGTCCAATAACATAGACGATTGATTTTCAGTAGGATGTGTTTGAAGTAAATACCATGCATCATACATATGTAATGTTTTTGTCAATTATAATTTTGTTTTTGACTTACGACATGACATTTCGTCCTCCGCGCCGGTACAGTCAGCCTCCCCGTCACATAACCACTCCTCCGGTATACAAACACCGCTGTTACAGGCGAACTCTCCAGCAAGACAAGATGGCGGCGGCATCACTTTATTAACAGATACAGGTTTTTGATGCAGAAGTTTCTCAACAAAAAGAAGATTGAAGTAGCACATCCTCCTTCTTATGAAATCTCTGCTTTACATTTTTTTATTAGCTATTCCTGAGACTTTCACAGTCTAAAATACTACTTTCATTTAGACGGAGTGATACATTTGAACTATATGTTGTTCAGATATAAAATGGAGAATATAATATATTGAGCTTTTCAGTCATTTATGTCAAGATGTAATTGTAAAAGAATGAAGGCAAATACCAAAAGAACTTCCATAGTGCACCAAACAAACTTTACATGAAAATCAAACTAAACCAGGACATGTTCCAAATATTTCCAATATTCTTTATGATATATTTCAAACCTTTTGTTATCGTTGTATAGCTAGCTATAAATCCGCTTTTCTCCACATCATTGTTACTAAGTAGGGAGAGGAACAGGACGTGAGAGGATGACGTCACATTATCAGGGATATTGCTTCCACAAAACGACGCCAGTATTGGGCCAGACGACGTCGATGCATCATGAATTGTTACCCGATCGGCATTACAATTAGGGTCGGATTCAAGGTCAAACTCTACGAAGGTCAATTCAATCACCTTTAAAAGGATCAAAACAACATTATTGAAACAGTATACATCACTTTCACATTGGAAGGCGATACTATATTAATTCGTTTACTCATTAGTCAGATATCGATATTTACTTTACTGGTAGATAATATTCCATACTGCCATTACATTAATTCTCCAATAGAACGAAAATTTCAAAAGTCTGATATAGTTCTGCCTCTATTATAATTTTCCTCTCGCCCTTTTGGCCTCCGTAAATGATGGTAAAATCGTCATGAAGATGAATCCTACTATTCAGCTTACTTTACACATTATTTCAACCGCGAAGAAGGACAATATCATGGGACTTAGAAAGATCTTGCCGGATGAAGGATGGATATTTCAATTGCCGAAATTTACCCAGTATTAAGGTTAAATGGTTCTTATACGTTCACAAAACTACGATGAATGATGCACTTTGCAGTGACACTTATTAGTAGAAAACCTTCTAAATATTATCTTACATGATTGTCTCCGGCGATGATAACCCATTCACACGTAGCATTGCTCGGATAGGGATTACCATTATCCCTACCAGGTGATTGTATAATCCCCGAGGGCAGCGTGTGAACCTGAGGGACTCCCCGACATTCTAATGGTAGACCCGTCACACTCGTTGCCGTTGTTGTATGCTGGATTGGTGGAATAGATGTTGGTATCGTCGTCGCTGTCGTTGTTGCCGTCGTCGTTCCTGGCTTCAATGACATAGTTGTCGTGGTTGGTGCTTGCGAAGATGATAACTCCATTGATGTTAGTGCTTTGATCGTTGTTGTTTCTTCAGTTGTGCTTAATGACGTCATCGGTTTTGTCTGTTTTGTTGCTGTTATTGTTGTTGTTGCTGCTGTCGCTGTTGTTGCTGTTGCTGCTTGTGTTGCAGATGACGTTGTTAGAGACGAGGTGGTAAACAATTTAGTTGTTTTCGAGCTTGTAGGGTTTGGTGTTGGTGTGACCTTGACTGAAGTTGATACCGCTGGAGAGTCTGAAACAAATAGAAACAATGTTTTCAATGACGACGATGAAGATTTTTTTTTTTCAAAATACATTAATGTGATATCCGTAATTAAAATCTGGAAAATCGTATCATATCGTTATTTTTATACATGCGATGAGCAGTAAGAACGTTTTGTCGAAGAACGCTACCTTGTATAACTGTCAATTTGGCTTTGAATCCCTTCCGTGGAATAACATTATCAGATGTGAAGTGAAAGTGAAGATAGTTTGACGAGCTCTGCAGCGGTTGGGGTATTGCGTTACCACAAATTTTGGCCAGAAGAAGATTGGAGTTTGTCGTAGGTCCGTCATAAACTGACAAACTATCCCAGGAACAGACAGCATTTTCTTCTATATCCATATCTATAAATTCCACTGATATAGCCTGAAACAAAACAAACCTATGAAAACAAAAACGTTTTAAGTGTTTTATCACTCAAAGCTTAACATTTCAGTGACGTAATATACTTAAATGAGGCTTAATGTTATGATCCATTATCCTTAATACAACGTAGAAAATAAACTTTATAAGATTTACCTGACTTTGTGATGCATTCAGCGTAAGGTAACACTGGACATTGGTTGGATAGTTGCCTAAACCATAATTAGGTGACGTGACGAACATCCCCTCGGCGGGGATGTGTACTTTTGTCTTCCCTCCACATAGCTCTGTGACGGCGTTAGTTGATTTGGGGGTACTCACTGTCATTGGTAACGTTGCTGTCGTTGACATATGTGAAGTCGTGGACGTTTTAGAGGAAAGGGTATTAGTGGATAAGGTGAACGGATTAGTAGGTGTAACTGTAGTCATGGGCGTAAAAGAGGGCGTGGTTGGTATAGTCAAGGGCGTGGTCTTTGTCGTTTGTTTGGTGGTTGGCGTGGTTACAGTTGTGGTCGTTGGTACTGTTGTGAACGTGGCCGTTTGTATAGTTGTTGACGTAGATGTGGGTGTGGTCGTCGATATTGTTGAAGGCATGGTGGAGGGCGTGGTTGTTTGTATAGTTATCGGTGATGTTATTGATTTGATTGTTGGTATGATAGAAGGCGTGGTCGAAGGCGTGGTCAAGGACGTGGTTGCTGGAATAGTCGTTGCCGTAGTTATTGACATTGTTGTGGTAAGCGGCTTGGTTGTGATAGTTGGTTTTACTGTAACAACTGAAATGACAGAGATTATCAAATCAGATTATTTTTTATGTCTTTTACAAAACTTAATATCATACAGTTGTGGGACCGCACAACGCACCATAAATAGCGTGCGCACACCGTGCATACATCGTTTACACACCGTCCGCACATCGTCCACACATGGTGCGCACAACTGTGCGATTTAGCAATCGTTCGCCCCGTTGTGCGCTTCTCTCCGCACAACTGGGCGATTTGGAATCATTTTTAGATCAAAATTACGGAATGACAAAAATACGGAAGGCTTGTATGCGATAATGTACACTGTGTATATATCTGTAATTTCTCATCAAAATAATCAAGATTATACAATTTCACAATGCGTGTTACACAGTATTACAGCGACCGTTAGGCTGTCAAGAATGGGTTTGGCTCCAAGTCAACAGAACAGGTAAATAACAATTTTATGAGTGTCCGGAGTTTTACCTGACCAGTGCCTGACACACAGAGCTGATATGCGATACCGTTTGACCGTAATGAATAGTATTTGTTATTTGCATTCGTTCACCTTCACCTGGATTTTCACACCCCCGGCCTTACCCGTCGAGTTACGTAAATGCCCCAGGCGGGGAGAAAACTACGGTCCAGGTACATGTACAAAGTGGTTATGTTTACCTGTATATGGGATTGTGTTGTAATTTTACATGTGTCGATTAAGTTTGTTTAAAAACACAGAAAACACAATTCCTAAATATAAGAATATAAAGACAGAAAGATAAGTTTATAGATGTTGCTAGAATATAGAAACATACGTAAACATCAAGTTTATATGTTTAAACACGAAACCGTATAAATTGTTAAGGCATTCCTCAATTTACACCAACCACGATTGTTATCGCACAACGTCCGTTCATCGTGCGCACATATGTGCGCAAGCAATGCTCGTTCAGCTTTTTAATCGTTCGCCCATCGTGCACACACCGTTCACACACCGTGCACACATCGTGCGCACACCGCACATCGTGTAACGTTGTGCGATCCCACAACTGTATAATAAACAAATATAAAATGATCAAAACACAATAAAATTATCCTTTTGTCAAATGTTCACTTTTCCTTTTTTTGCCATGAACGTACTTCTATGTGACAGATTTGAACGTTATCATTACGAAGCGAACAGACATTGGTTTCTATTTCACTTTCCTCGAACATTACAAACTTAACTGATACGTAAAATATCCTGGACAAGCGGGAAAATTGAAAAACATTGAATGGTCTGTGCGTGACATTTTCCTTACTACAAATGGACTTGATAAATCACTTTATCCACACCGATAATTCCTCACTCTCGAACGGTTAAACATTTAATGAATAAGTGTATGATCAATATATCTATACTACTCTAGTGTGTTATCGAAATTTCCTATTCAATACCTGGTAAGTATTATTATATACCTACGGATCCCCGTACTACCGGCAAAAGTTCTAACTAAGTAATGGAAACATTTTTTTTCCGACATGACTAATTCCGTCTTTGCGTATTGCAGAGTTATCTTCTCTTGGGAGCAGGTATTGATTGTTACGTCATTGGTTTGTGCGAGAAAATTACGTCGTTTTCTCAAAAATTGATGACGTTACTCTCACAAACAAGTGACGTAACAATCAATACTTGCTCCCAAGAGCAGATAACTCTGCAATACGCAAAGACGGAATAGCTTTGATTAAACATTTTTGAACAGTGTTCTGAGTGTAAAAAGAAATCAGCGGGGCTCAAACCGGGACTCGACCCCTGGACTTCAGATTGTTATACTATCGCTCTAACCGATTAAGCAACCTGGTCAACGGAAGTGTACAAGCCCATATATCAAAATAGAAGTTAAGGGGCGTTTACCGCATACAGGTAAAACCAGTGCAATGGAACAGGGATCTTTCAATTCAAATATGATAATATTTGAAAGAACACATTCCAACAATATCAAGATCATAAATACCTTCAATGACTGATAGCACTAAGTGGAATCCGGAAGCCGTAACAATACTGTCCGACTGGAAAAGTAGATACAGCTTGGAGGAGGTCGAATACAGATCTGTTTTGGTGTGGAGGCCACAGTAAACACCCAAAAGAGGTGCATTAATATCAGCACCGTCGTAGACTCTCAGACTGTCCCAGCCACACGAGGAATGATGTTCCATATTTAGAGTAGTAATGTTCATCTTCAGTAACTAGAAAAAAATAAACCAAAGCGTCATCGATAAATGTCACTTAATGCAGATACTAAAAGACAACATAATGAAACCAAGCGGTACTAAAATAGGAGAGACAAAATGAACCTACACAAGACGCAGGTACACCAGTGGTGAAAGTGTGTCCGGCATAACACCTTTTACGAAACATCTTAAGTGTAAAATTGATAGAGAAATACTTAAAAGTACTTAATATAGTATCTAAGTAACGCTGAATGTATAAGAAAACTCAGAAATGCTTTTTTTATGATAAAAAGAATCAGCAGTATTATCATGAAAAAACCAATGAAAGTAACACAGGGATTACCAGTCTATACGTATTGCGTACCTGATGACCACTACTCCTTATCAGAAGACCACATTGTGTATTGACAGGGTATTTTTTTCCGTTACCAAAATTTGGTGAAAACACATCTGCAGATTGTTTAACCTCCAATATCTGCATGCCATTAGTGGCATTACACATGTGCAGTGACGTTGTTGGAGGAATCGGTGTAGTAAGCATTGAAGGCGTTGATGTTGATTGGATATCCGTCGTCGATGAAGTTTCCGGAGGCAAATTGGACGGCGATGTCAATTGCGAGGTCTGATCAGATACAGACGCAGTTGTTGTAACATTATCGTCAGCAGTAGGGGAGGAGGTGGAGTTCATCTTAGACGAAGTTAAAGTCGAAGTGTCAGTAGTTGGCGACGTGGAAGATAGCTGTACTGGAGTAACTAAATCAGCTTTAGTTGTACTGTCAGCAGTGGTTGTGTCGTCAGATTGTTCTGAAAATAAACAAAATATTTTTAAGTGTTAAAAAATTCTTTCTTTCTGGGGCGATGTATGAAATTATTTCATGAAAAGGAATCATCGTTACAAGATAATAAGACCAAATAAATAATTCTATATTATGAATATCGTTTTATGTTTACGTATAAACTCATATAATATGGTATATTGCAACATCATGATATGATAATGAAATTCCATCTCAAACTTCAATTGAAAAGTTTGTTTCTGTAATATTCGCAATGATCGTTTGCTAAAATACTTAATTCAATTATCATTAACATGATTTTGTTTTTGAAAATCGTCAATTTTTTGTTTTTATTTTCATTTTTGATCATCAATCTCATATGATGTTGCGCATTAATGCCATATAGTCCTGTCATATGATTTTTAGAAAATTATCCACTATTAATGCTTTCGTTGTTGATAAATCTATTTTAATACATGACCAAAACTCTGTTCTGAATAGCTCAGTAGTTTGGTCCACTGTATCGTCATCACCAGGTACCACAATGTGGACTACACTGTCGTTCTTTATGAACTTAAGTCACACCTTTTTCTGTTGAAATGTCCAGTTGGAATCCTTTATCAGGTACGATATAGTCGGACACAAATTCCAGAAACAAAGCAGTTCCACTGCTGTTAATAGCCACACCAGATTTGACTCCACAAAACATTCCTATTAATGTTGATGTCTTAGACGGACCATCGTAGACAGATAATCTGTCCCAGGAACAAGATGGATGGTATTCCACTTTGAAATCTAAAACATTTATATGAATTTTCTGAAAAAAAAGAAAGTTCCAAATTAAGAGCAAAATATGAAGTAACACTTACTTATGAATAAATGAAAATGACACAGAATTTGTCAAAAATCACAAATTATTTTTTAACATTTAACAAAAATTTAAAATATGTATAATTTCTAATTTTGCAGAAATGTTTTATCAATAAAAATGTTTATAATATACTGGCAAATCTTTCGTTTCGTTTCCAGGAAAGAAAATAATTGCAGTTGCTTCAGTCGAGCCACCAGTGTCAATATATTATTATCAGTGACGTCACCATCCATGCAATCCACATACAAAATTTCCAGAAAAAAAGTAAATGGTTTAAACTATATATGCAGTCTCTCTTGAAACGCATTGCATTTAACTCTTTTTCATTTTATTCTTAACTGTTACCTAACCTCACTACTTACCCGATTATTCAAAGCTTCAAGTTTCAATCCGCAAGTGACACTGACGGGGTAGGTTTTTCCTGGACCAAAGTTTGGAGACAAAACTATAGCTGTTTCTTTCACAAACGTTTGTTGTAATCCATTATCTAATATAATTAGATTATTGTCTGTGAAGGGTTCAGGTACTGGCGTTGTCACGTGATTCGTTGTTGTAGGTACAACTGTTGTCAGCACGGGGGTGGTAGTAATCAGAGACGATGTAGTAGGTACAGTTGGTGAAGTTGGCAGCCATGTCGGTGCTGTAATACAGAGACGACAATAATTGGTGGAGGTTAGGGATGGCCGTCTTAGATGTTACAAGGACGATAAGCAACATACAAACAAATATTAAGTATGCATACTAATACATTTTTATTGTTGATATAATGATAATTTATTTTATTGACAGAAAAGAATATGCATAACATAGTAACAAGTTGACTACTAATATATATTCCCTTTAATACAGAGACGAAAGAAACTGGTCGAGATTAAGGATGGCCGTATTTACATAACCTTAGATGTTACGGTGACGCTAAACTTCGTGCAAAGAAATAACAAGGGTTCATACTAAATCGGGTTTACTCATTTGTTTTGTAAACAGGATGATACTTTATTTTGTGCACAGGCAATAAATGCAAAACGGTATGGTATGGGCCATTTGTGTAATTATATGTTTCCCTGTAACATAGACGCGACAGTAACTGGTCAAGATTAAGAATGGTAGTCCTCCACCGTCTTCAAATAACCAAGCTGTTGATAGGGCGTTAAACTCCATACAAAAAAAATCAGTAAATTATACTAATATGCATTTGTTTCATTGGTAATATAATGATATTATTATTTGACAACAGAAAGATGCACAAAGTAACGGTATCGTCCGATTGATTTCTGTTTTCCTTGAGTTGTTAAATGATACTTATAAAATGGCATGTTATCTTCTGTTTGATCCAGGTTTGCCCATTTATTTATACCAAATATTACAAATAAAGATTTTAAAAACGGTGACTAAATAACATCAGACGAGTAAAGAGGTTTATGATTGATGTGTGTTGATTTAATTGGGAATTTTGGCACTTTTTTCAAGTAGTCTTACAGTATTACTAAATGTTGTTCAGTGTTAATTACTTCTTACCATTACTTATAATGAAAATAACTTCTTACTATAACTTATATTGATAATAACGTCTCACCATTACTTATAATAATAATAATGACTTTTTACCATTACCTAAAATGCTAATAAATTCTTTTCATTACCTATGGAGATAATAAATTCTTATCATTACCTATAATGATAATAACTTCTTACCATTACCTACAACGATAATAGCTTTTTACCATTACCAATAATGATAATAACTTCTTACTTTTACTTATAACGATAATAACTTTTTACTATTATTCATAATGATTACAACTTGTTATCATTACTTATAATGATAAAAAAATATATTATTATTTATAATTATAATAACTTCTTACCATTACTTATACTGTATTTTATTATTATTATTTATAATTATAATAACTTCTTACCATTACTTATACTGTATTTTATTTTGAATCCTTTCAAAGCGTTGACGGAGTCGGAGTAGAATCTGACTAGAATTACGCTGGCTGGTGTCGTTAAGGGTGATGAGGGGGTTTCTCCACACAGCTTGGCTAGTACAGAAGATTCTGCTCCGAGTCCAGCTCTGAATTCTAGGTAGTCCCAGCTACACATCGGATGGTGCTCCAGAGCGAAGTTCTCAAATGTGAATTCGATAAGCTGTTATCGAAGAAAGATTTTGATTAAATCAAAATCGAATCATCTAGTTTCTTGTCGTTTCCATGTCAACATTAATAACAATATCCAAATCTCAATCTACATACTGTTGTTGCATGATATCGTACATCGATGTGGAACACGTTACACAGAAAATGCGGCATTTAGTAGTACCGTCTTAGGTTTACAGAAATAGCCAATGGACGAATTTGTATAGTTAATTGCCTGAACTCTTTATCATAACAAAAACTGTTTCTTGATTTATCAATTCATCACAATTCATTTAGAATAAAAGGTCGTTTATGTTTAGAAAACTTGGATGATATAACGCGTTTGTTTTTACATGTTAAACTGTCAGTCCTTATTCAGTTCATTAAACTACAGCAAAGACTACTTTACCTTGTTTTTAACATGAACAGACCTTTTTACAATTTGCTCTCTAAGTAGATGGTAACAATCACATTCATTCCTATCCACTGCTGAAATATTTTTACATTACTCATCTATAGTACCTAAAACAAGTATTTGTTTCTTATAGTTGGGGTTACCTTGTGTTTAGTGTTAATTATGTGCAGAACACAGTCTTGGTTTATCTCGTAGTTATTTCCGGAACTGTAATGCGGTGACAAGATGTATCCTTCCGCACCACTGTAAACAAGTGCTGTGCCGTTACACATTTCCACCGTAGGAATGGCACTGGTGGAACTAACATACAGTGTCTGTATATTTGGGTCTATAGGTACAGGAGATGACGCTGATAATGATGACGATGACGATGATGATGGTGTAATGGTAGGCGGAGATGATGATGTCAATGCTGCTTTACTTTTCGATGTCAATAGTGTAGATATTAAAGTCGATGACGACGTAGTTGAAGGAGGAGTTACTTAAAATATGACGAAACAATTTGTACAATTATGTTTAAATAACAAAGCAGACACTAGTCATTGTATATATATCAAATCTTACATCTAAAAATCGTTAGGTACATATTTTTCAAAGATTAGGCTATGTTAACAAGAATATTGATTCGGTCAAAGACTGAACACTTTACTTTGACATGATATGTAAATATTAAATGTTACACGTTGTACTAACGAAGTCAAAAAGTTTTGGGTTTCTCAAATCCTTTCGTATAACTGTATACATATGGACTTTTTATATACCTGATTGTTGAATAAAAAGTTTTATTTGAAAGCCTTTCCAGTCAACCACATTATCGGAGGTGAAGTTAAGGTTGATTTCCTCTGCAGATGACTCCAAATTATCTGGAGTGTCAGCAGACACACCACAAATTGTAGCAAGTATTGACCCTGGGCCTTGACCGTCGATGACCTCTAACTTGTCCCAGAAGCAGGTAGGATGTTTTTCCACATTAAAGTCAATAAACGAAAACTTCAGAACCTAAAATGATATAAACGACAAATTTTTGTAGAACACTCGACAATGTTTTTTATTGGATGTAATACTTAAAACGGCAATATTTAACAATTGAAAAAATAAAAGGCCTTGCAATCATTACCCAATATTAAATTTCCATAATTATTACATTTGTCGGCAATTAAAAACAAAAACAACGGATGATAATGAATATTTGTTTCAGTGAAGCAGCGGTTTATTAAAACATTTAAATAAAAGAATATCACGTGCTACACTATATAAATTTTAAGAGTATATATTTTGCATGTACCCGTCACATTGGGATAGAACAGCATTTTTACCAATAAGTATATTAATAAATGATAATCTGCTATTTACATATAAAACTAGATAATTGAATTCAGTATATTATTGCTCATATCAACAACTTGGTAATTTGAAGGCAAACGGCAATGCATACATGGAAGTGGATTTAAAAGAATAAACAAACGAAAAAAGAAGCCAAAGCATTTTTTTATAATCAAAGTCCATATAAGCTGCTTATCCTTTTTGCTATAGCAGATGTTTTGCTAGGCTTTAACCAGTTACATTTCTGCTAGTGGTACTGCCCTTTAATTTGGTTACAGAACATATAGTTGAACTTCGTTATTATGCCAGAAAACAAATATTTATCCTTACGGATGTTTTAATTTTTTTTATATATTTTTAAATTGGTTTCAATATTATTTATAATTGTTAATTCGATCGCAATAAATGCCCACCAATTTATCTCGAAGTCTGACTGTATATAAACATCGACCTATCGCGATTCGGCTTTTAATAAACAACGACATATCGATATACAACGGTACATTAAACTCGTTTTATACCTTCTTTCCAGGATTGAGTATTTTTAGATGGCAATTTCTATTATTTCCGTAGTTTCGATTCTGAGCGTAACCAGGCGATATCACCAAAGCATCGTGCTCCGCCTGGTACCATGTGACGTCCTTGCACATTTCCACGACTGTTGGATGAGCCGGATCGGTGACGAGTAGGCCCATCAGTAAGGTTTGAACGCTCGGCTGAGAGGGACTGGGAAACGGTGGCGAAAATGCCGAAGTCGTGTTCGGTATCAATGTTGTCGTAGTCGCCTTTGGCGATGACATTGATGATGTTGTGTGTGACTTTATTGATGATAATTGCACTGTTGACATTGTCGTGGATGATTGTACTGAAATAATTAAGCTTGCATATAGGTTTTTACCAAAACTGCCACGTCTATCGCAACATGGGGCTGCAATATCGATCTAGTATTATACTAGTATATATGTATACATCAAGACTATTCAAAATTGTACATGGAAATTACATTTTTTTTTAAAGTTGCAAAATATCAGGGATACTAATAGAATGAGTTTAATTTAAAATGAATCATGAAGTTAGTTACCTTGCTGTTTTAATTCCTCAGATGTGACTAGAACTTTGAACCCAGGCTTCGCTACATACTCATCAGAATGGAACTCGAGACAGGCCTCCGCAGTTTTGAAGAATATATTGCTAGGAACAGAAGTGCCACAGTACCGCTTTACATCTCCTCCGCTTCCACACGTCCCATTGGACACCAAAATATAGTCCCAAATACATAAAAGATGGTATTCGATGTGGAACTCCGAAAATGATAATTTTAGTTCTGCCTGTAATGATGCAATTGAAAAGGCTATAAGAATTCAATGTGTGAACTCCACTTAAACGGAAATATTGATTGCTGTATAACAAGAAGGTAGAAACAGATGGGGCGGGTGGATCCGCATAAACTTCTGTACCAGCATTTAACTTCACGTAATACAATACCTCAAAGTACACCCATAAGTTAACATATTATGCATCCAAATCTCAATGTTATATTGATAGTTTAATCCACGGTCTGTGTATGTGTCTTTTATCTATAAGAACTAAATAATGTGTTTTCGTGACAGGTGTATGTTAGATACGTATATTTTGAATATTGCATTTAATATATTTTTAAATCTTATTAACCAAAAGATATTGTTACCTATTTTAAGTATAACTCACAAGTTTGAAAAACACAATTCAATGAATTATCAAATACTTAAACATCCTACATAAATTTATGTTGATAAAAAGATGAAGGAAAAACGCTTGCATATGTTGTTTCTTCTATTCAGTGATATGTTCCTATTAATAAATAACAAAACCGTAAAATAACATTGTACACAACAGACAATTTTAAATCTTTGGGATTAACAACGTCTTTTGCATAAATGCGCGTAATATACTGTGCTTCATTACAATAGCCAGAGTTTTTAAGGTATTTGACACAGTGGTATCATGATGTTTCATTTTAAATTAAAAATATTCAGAAACATGACTATTTTGTGTAAACTTTCTGAGATTCATTTTGAATCAGTATTACATAACTATAAAAAAAAGTGCGTTATTGGGCTAAAACTTGATACATCCCAGAAATGGTTGCCCTTGGTGTTTTGCCTTGTAGATACATTTTGTACGTATTACCTTTACTTGCCTATATTGCTATACATAGTTTCATATGACAGGTAACATTAGACTTTCTTTACTTTAGCACGTAGAATACATAGAGACTAAAAATGGTTTATGTTGTCAAAGGTAACATCCCTTCATTGAAGGACCTAGATTATACAAGGCGTCAAAATGACTGATTTCAACAAAGGTTCCATCCCTTCATTGAAGGACATAGATTATACAAGGCGTCAAAATAACCGATTTCAACAAAGGTTCCATCCCTTCATTGAAGGACATAGATTATACAAGGCGTCAAAATAACCGATTTCAACAAAGGTTTCATCCCTTCATTGAAGGACCGATATTATACAAGGCGTCAAAATGACTGTTTTCAACAAAGGTTCCATCCCTTCATTGAAGGACCGATATTATACAAGGCGTCAAAATGACTCATTGAAGGACCGATATTATACAAGGCGTCAAAATGACTGATTTCAACAAAGGTTCCATCCCTTCATTGAAGGACCGATATTATACAAGGCGTCAAAATGACTGATTTCAACAAAGGTTCCATCCCTTCATTGAAGGACCTAGATTATACAAGGCGTCAAAATGACTGATTTCAACAAAGGTTCCATCCCTTCATTGAAGGACCTAGATTATACAAGGCGTCAAAATAACTGATTTCAACAAAGGTTCCATCCCTTCATTGAAGGACCTAGATTATACAAGGCGTCAAAATGACTGTTTTCAACAAAGGTTCCATCCCTTCATTGAAGGACCTAGATTATACAAGGCTTCAAAAGGACTGATTTCAACTAAGGTTCCATCCCTTCATTGAAGGACCTAGATTCTACAAGGCGTCAAAATGACTGATTTCAACAAAGGTTCTATACCTTCATTGAAGGAACTAGATTATAAAAGGCGTCAAAATGACTGATTTCAACAAAGGTTCCATCCCTTCATTGAAGGATCTAGATTATACAAGGCGTCAAAATGACTGATTTCAACTAAGGTTCCATCCCTTCATTGAAGGACCTAGATTATACAAGGCGTCAAAAGGACTGATTTCAACAAAGGTTACATCCCTTCAGTGAAGGACCGATATTTTACAAGGCGTCAAAATGACTGATTTCACCAAAAGTTTCATTCCTTTATTGAAGGCCGTAGTATATAAGGAGGCAGGACTGCAAACTGATCAGTTCCAAAATCGGATCACTTTTTGCAAAAATACTGTTAAATCAATAAATGTGTCAACAGATCAGTTATAACAATTATTTAGCCTTAGAATAGAAAGCTATGTATCATTTTTGTCTACAGATGATATTTTTTTAGTGCAATTAGCATCAGAAAACGTAATTTTTAGAAAATGGCGCGTGCGACGGCTATGCATTCTGTTTTGCACTATATGAATTTAATTCACCCTATAGAAATACTTGTTTTCATATAAAGTTCAAAGGTCATCATCAAATGTTAATTATGCTGACAAAAATATTCATTTGAAGTGTAAGATACTTCAAAGGTCAAGCCTTGATCCGATTTGGGTCCTGACATTCGCAAAAACCGGAACCGCCGAATGGTGACATCAGGGCGTTCTATAAATATCTCACGTTAGCCCCGGGTGCTATTTCTTTTTTGGAAGAACACTCATCGATATTCTTTCTTTGATACAACCATAAATGAATATAATTCATCATCAACATTTTCAATGAATGAATCTAATAATGGTTTTGTGATTCGATTTGAGTACCGTCATCCTATATATAAGAGAATGGCTTATGTCATCTAAAGTTTGAGCCTTTGCTTATTCAAGGATGTGGCTGTTTAGAAATAAAACATCCATACACAGTTAGTTTACTTCTTTCTACTCATCCGTATTTTATCGCATGATGTTTGCACAGAATTATTTAAACTGTATTCGTATTTTGAATAGACGAAATTAGTTTTGCTAATCCCGTTCCTATTTCGACTATGCTTTTTGATTGAATGTGTCAGTTTTGATCAACATCCTGAAGTATGTATTGCGGTAGCGATAAGTTACGGCACGGTACGCTGAACCATAAAGCGTAGTATATTTTAAAAAGACGTTCCTTTCCGCTAGGTTTTTGATTGTTAATAAAATGTGTAAAAAATAAGCAGAGCATGGCTTTGTGGTAAGAAATATCATACCTAATGATCTTACTATGTCAACATATTTTTTCTGCGGATACAAACTTTCGGTACAATCACCGACCTGTTATTTTCTTAACTACCTCACATTACAGTAAATATATCACATATACAATACCGTTACTATGTCTAGACGACCCCAGGTCGACATAAGGTTTTGATTTATCTATTTATACCCCCCGGGACAATAAAGTCTTAAAATATGTTCCCTTTGATATATAATCGATTAAACGAAAGATAAAAAAAAAATCAAAATTTTATTGTAGGGTTTTATCAATTCATGTAACATTTTTTTAATCAACATTGCGCCTGTCCTTCTTTCCTTCATATTAAGCAACACAGTATTTCTACATTAAAAAACATAAAGACATCTTTTCAGTCCATTTAATACTAGTATTCTTTTTACGTGTTTATTTACAAAGGAATACGTTTAGTCACGCTGAAAATTGTTTTTACCTTGAATAAGTAAAGTATAAGTCAGTAAATGACAGTAAAAAAAGAAATAAGATTATGTCGTATCGGGTATGAAAAGCATTATAAAGCTATATCTTTAGTGAATATCAACTACAGAATACACTGTACCCAGACCTGCCCTACTCTGTGTTGGTATTACGGCTAATAGTGAGTATAACACTCGCTGCAATGTTTTCAAACGTATTTAACTGAGACATCATCCTTTTTACGTGTTGTCCAGATTCTCTGGACAGATGCGCCTTTTTGACTGAGAATTTTCCCAGAGGGTTCTATAGGAGAGGGTTTCACAGTGGAGCGCTTCACAGAAAAGAAAGATATTTTAGATTCAACATGGAAATGTTAATTATTTATTTACATGGTGTTCTTAAAATCATTGGAGGCGTGCCTATTTAATCGACTTTGACAGGAGCCGTCCTTACGGTTGGCACGTGCGGTTCAGGGAACCCTGTCTCAGAACTGGGTTTAATGGGAGGGGGGATTTACATATTTAGAAAGCCATTAATGTGTTAACGACACATTCAGTGTCAAATTATGTTTTTTTTTAATAATCTTATATGACAGTAACGTACAATTCATTTGTCTGTTCATGGTTAAATGGGATGTAAATATGTAAAATATGATGGCTGTTTATTTCACACAACAACTGTCTGGATATTCTTAAAAATATTTAACACACCTCATTTTACCACCTCATAACTTACATTTCTTTTACGTAAAATGAAATATCGGTCATAAATCTGTTATATACTATAGCCTAGGGATAGTTATAGTGTCTGTGTATTCAGTTTTCTCGACATTTCTATAATTACACCCATGATTTAAGTAAGCGACACACGTTGCAGCCATTTATAAAGGAATAAAGATATCCTTGAACATTTAAGAAATAATTTTTCTGACATTCCTTTGTGAAAAAGGATAAAAAAATATTTTTGTGAAAAAAATAGACATGGATTCCATTAAACAGACAGCCTGACTTCCGTGATGTGTTGTCATTGGAGTATTTGTAAAAAGACCGTTTCCTTAACTATCGCTTTCAAGGATCAGATTACATGGTACCTGTTTGTGAACGCCTACACAATTTGACAAATATAATTCTGTTTGACAGGCTAAATTTAACATAGTATTACACGATAAACACTTAACAACAAAATTAACCACAAATAATCACTATATTACGAAGTAGAGAAGCCCCCAAAATTGATCAGGTCGATAGTCCAGTCGTTAGACGCCGGGCTCGTGACCGAAGGGTTGCGGGTTCGAGTCGTGACACGGCACTGTGTTGTATATTTGAGCAAGCTACTTTACTCCGCTTGTTTAAGTCTACTCAGCTGCAATTGAGTATGTGGTTGGGCAGAGCTAGAATTATAGCATGCTAGCTGTGAGTAATAAATTGTGAACCGCTTTGAGACGACCTATGAACTAGGTTGTGATAAAGCGTTATATAAGAACTTTTTATTATTTTTATAATTTTTATTATCATTAATATTATACCGAAACACAACGTACATTGCAATATGTGTCATGAGTTAAGGGGACAAACAAACCACGTCTAATGTGTTTCAAAGTGTATGTATACAATATCCAGCACACACGCAAGAATACACACATAGGGAGGTATTAGCCATGTGGCATATGACTAGTAGTTAGCGCCTGATAATGCAGCTTCTGCGAATTTCACAAAATGTATTGATTGATGAACTTGTATTTGCTTATTGTTTTGATTGTATCAATTGAATATTTATGTACTGTAAAGCGCTTTAAATCGAGTGGCTTAGTTTAGCTATATCAAATGTTGTATATTATTATTTTATTATTATGTTAAAAATGCAATGACAGAGGGGAAATTTGGTTATAAAATCCTGTTACATATATGCAACAAATTTTAAAGTTTAGCTACAACATATGCTCTGTAAAATATATCTAAACTAGTATTTCATGTAAAACGAACCGGATTTTATTACATCTACAACAATAAGAATGATTTTCTCTTACGTCATTTGAAAAAATACATGATGATATTAAATCTTTTCAAAGCAAAATTATTATGAGAAGTGCTTTTTACACAACCAATAAAATGTTCTATGCGACGTTCCGACTAGTACGATATGTACACTGTCACCTTCATCAGACAAATGACCAGTGAAGCGTATGCACTCAAAGGTGTAAAATGTGTACGAGCTGTCCATAAAAATCGATGTCGATTTCGGCTACGCTGGAAACGTATGTACAATAGTTGTTATAAATGTACCGAAATGACTTCATTCAGCTACGCTTTGTTAACACTTGGTCATAGATGTGCCAGAGTATTTGAGCCCCCTCGTCTCGATTTAGAACTGGCCCACTGCGGCGTATCCAGATGGCTTCCTTTATCTGCCGCTTAAACAGATTGCTCCCTCTGTCCGAAACTTTCGAGTTATCCCAGTCAATCACATGATTTTTCTGTGTGGCATGATCTGTGATTGCCGATTTATTTATCTGGGACTCCGACTGTTTTCTTTCTGATCCGGTGAATTTCCTACATTCTTGGGTTTCTGGGTCTTTCCTGTGTTCACCAAGGCTGACCCAAAATCGCCTTCCAGTCTCTCCGATATTTGACGCGTCGCAGTTTCTGCATCCGATTGTATATGTATGTACTGTAAAGCGCTTTTAATCGAGTGGCTTATTTTAGCTAGATAGGGCGCTATATCAAATGTTGTATATTTTTATTTTAACAGTATGTTAAAATTGCAATGAAAGAGGGGGATTTTGGTTATAAAATCCCGTTATATATATGCAACAAATTTAAAAGTTTGGATGCAACATATGCACTGTAAAGTATATCTAAACTAGTATGTAAAACGAGCCGGATTTCTTACATCTACAACGTAACGTGAAACTTCGGGGATTATAGTCTTCATCACCTTACCTTTTTACTTGGCTGATCGGATTGGCCAATATGTAGACACGTTTGGATAATACAAAAAGGATGATTTTCTCTTACGTTATTTGAACTAATACATGATGAGATTAAATCTTTTCAAAGCGACTCTCAGTATTGTTCTTGCCTAAAATAAGTGGCTACCTCCCGCAGATTTCTCATTAACTGCTCAATCATAGGGCTGACTTGAAATGTAAATATTTCAAACCCCTGTTAAATGTTCAACTCGATTTTTCCCCTATGTCGGCAGTCTAACCTGTGTCTGTTGTTGAAGAACCTGTTCACAGTTCACCTGTTTGAAGGCGAGCAATAGAACACAAAAATATAACAAAGAAACGGGGACAACTCGGAAAACACTAGCAAAATATCTATAGGAGATTTACCTCGAAATTCGCATTCATCACTCTTGCGATTCCATATCATATGCATAAAGTAGATTTGCATTCATACCGGCCTGGATGTTTTAATCCGTTGAATTCCTATTTCAAAACCGATCAGACGGTTTTATTATTACAAACAGCATCCACTGTATGACTTTTCGATTAACAAAAGCCTATCAAATGAAGATGACAGCCATGTGAGCGTTGAGCTACATTCAGTTGGAATTCACATGGCCTATATGTGCCAAATGAAAGCAGCTTAATGCGTCGATAAAGGCCACTTCAAATGTGACCCTTGTTAAGGCTAAGCCTGCTCTTTAAATGTATTACTTACGCTATTAAAAATGAAGTTGAATACAGTGTACGGTTTACATACGTTTGACGTAGTTGTAATGTTCCATCTGCAGTGAACGTTTAGTTCGTAGTTGCCGTGATCGTATCCGGGGGATTGAATATCGACTGTACTGCCCTTCTCTACGAAAACCTGGTGTTCACAGCACAGAGCGCGGGAAACTGTCAGTACAGCAATCACACCTATAACGGAAAAAAATGATAATACCAATAATTATATGTAACAATCAATCAGAAAGTTTGAAACAAATGTGTTTGCATTCTCCTTAAGTGTGACGTTATAAAGGCAATAGTTAATTGAGTATGCAAGGCGATTGTGTTCAGAAGTACTCTGTTTAAAATTCGTTCATTTTCTTACTTTAAAACGTGCCAATAATCAGTTAAATATTATTTAGTTTCGCGTTGTAAAACTTCTTTTATTTTACTCGTGTGGCAAAATCACAAAAAATAAATATATTTAGTATTAAACCGAAAACCATTAGAGAGCACCTATGTATTGGGACTAATAATACAGTTTAACACGCAATGATAAATTTAAGAAAATTATATATTTTTACACTAACCAATTGTGACGTTATAATGGTACAGCATATGGATGGTTTTAAGACTTTTCACATTATGCTTTATAACTAGGTGGTTGATTACAAAATGACGTCGATTTTAGAAATACGTCTGTACAGACAAGGAAGCATCTCACGCGAGGATACGGCCTTTAACACCTTTGACCATGGCGTTATTGTTGTACAAAATGATTTCCTGTCGAAATGTCGTGGAGTAAACACCAAAATGCATCACTTTGGCATAAGCGATTTATGTGAATTTAACTTTCCTACGAAATATATTTGTTTGTTATTGTTTGACGGACAAATTTACAACAACACAAGGTTTCCCAAAAAAGGCAGTTTGATGAAGACTGTGGACAAGTTCTATAGCCGCTAATATGATGTCATAGGGAAATATGTGATTTGTTTGAATGACATGAAAGTGATTTTTTACCATGTTGTGTCTTGAGGTTCTGTTGTCACTACCCGAGTCTCCAGTATAAGGACGTGACATTACTTGGATGAAGCTTACCAATCCGGAACACCTGGTCTTATTGTTTATATTAGTATCGGTTTTAAGTCGGAATTATGGTTTTGTTGATACTTTGGTAATCTCTTATTGTTAACATTAACAATATGCAATTTTTTTTAATTTTTTTTTTTTATATTTTTTATGAAGAATATGAAAATCAAACGTCAGATTAATGTGGGAAAAAGATCAGATAATCATTGTGATAGTGAGTATCGACGTTTGTTATCGTCAACACTTCAGCATATGTTTCAACAAAATCCCATTAATACCGACATTGTGTTTAACTTTTCTTTAGCAAGAAAAAATACTGGACACAAAATATTTACGACATTACACCAAATAATTCATAAACCGACAAATAATATATAATACACCAGCTTGATAAATGTATATACACAGAATTAACCATATAATTCACAAGAAACAACATATTAAGCCAGCAATTAAACCATATATTTTGTTCTGCTGCCAATACAATCTTCATATTCCAAGCATAATTTAATTATCAGAAAAATGCAATAAAAAGCAATTTAGTTCTTACAGTTTGCCATCATTATTGTTCAATCAAAAGTGCTCTACTTCTACAGATTTACATAAAGCATGGTACTAAATCGTGACCAATGGTGATTTGTGGGAAGATATTACAACGAGTAGGCTTCGTTCACTTTCGGAATTAACATTGTTGTGTCACATACGCTGTAAGATGTGACATAAGCTATAATTAAGTTTAGACATGCATAGGAATTAACGACATGGGTTTACAACACGGCCAAACACGGTCTATAATTATAGGTCTTACACAGTATGGCGACAGTCTAAGTAATGGTACCGATAACCGTGATAATATCTGGGCTAAGGCAGGGTTTCATAGGGATCATATTGTATGTTTTGATACCCAATATGTACTTGATGACACCAACCCCACCTACTCAGAAGAAAGAAGTTTGGCTATTTAGGTCATTTTTTTTTTTTATCTATAAACACTGAAGTAAGCATTTATCCAGATACACGAAGAAACAAATAAGTAAACAAAATAAGTAAGTCTCAGAAAACAGTCGTGTTTGGTATTTCCCCTAATGCAGAAGAAATGAGCATGTCTCTGAATATAGCAAAAGTGAGCGTGTCTCTGAATATAGTAAAAGTTAGCATTTCTGTGAATAAAGAAAAAGTTAGCATGTCTTTAAATAAAGGGATAGTGAGCATATCTCTTAACATAAAGCAACAGTGAGCATTTATTTTAATATAGTATTGTGAGCATATATCTTGATATAGCAAACGTGAGCATGACTCTGATTATAGCACCAGTGAGTATGTATCTGAATAAATCCGTAGTGAGCATGTCTTGGAATATATCAATTGTGAGAATTTCTCAAAAATATTCGAAGTGATTATTTTACCGGTTGTAGCAATTTTAGGAATGGAGAGCATGCCTCAGAATGTAGCAATATTTTTTTTTAAGTATTATCATGGTGATTTTGAATAATGAGTAATAAAAAACAATGTTACAAAATGTCACCAAAATAGACATTCCTTCACCGAAGAATGAAGTATGGGTGGATATTGTGTAACTTAACACAATGAACATGATATAACGAGTGACGACCGGCGTGCTATAATCTAGGTAGGAATTTCCCTTTGTCAGGAGTAATGTGATTATCTACTAAACTGCGGTGCATTATTACGTAGCGCGACCTGTTGAATGTGTCATGGTCAACGTGGTTGACCTCAGGATCTACGTGTGGTTATCTTGACCATACGGTTGTTTATATTTACGTGAATCTTTACTTTATAATCAAGCTCAATGACCATAAAGCTCTGTCCCCCCGTTTCGTTGTAATATTCGGATTGGATGTTTGTTAACGCGATTCATGTGATAACATAAACGCCAGACTATGTCGTATGTACTTTAAGTGGAGAGACTGATAATATCTCGATGCTTTGTGTAAAATATGCTCTACATCAATGCCATGTTGATAATGATATTTTTTTCCTTAGAATTTCTTGTACACGATGGTTATCATTAAGATACATTCCGAAGTTTCAAATAACCCTTTTCTCATTTACTCATTTATTGTAAAGTGAAATAGAAAGATTTCACGCATCGACTACATACCAACCGCATCACAGCGTCAATAAGAAAATACAGAAACTGAGAAGAAAATTCTTACGACACATTAGAATGATGCCTAGAGAAGAAGTAAAACCAGAGGAAAGAAGGCCTTCATGGTCAGTATAAAAATCAGATTTCCGACCTGGTGCCATTCGTGTGGAATTAAATTGATTTTATAAATGGCAGCTTTATCGGTTAAATATTGTACATGACTTTGTACAATATCTCCAAATTCACCAAATCATTGAACAACAGTTGCCATGATATCTCTCATTGAAATTATTGAAAACGTATCCATTATTCGTAACAAATTTCATCTCTGAGAAACTACTCTGCATTTTATGGAAAGTCAGTTTAGCGAAGAAATGCACTTTTAAACTGACAGGATTTTATGTGTGTATCCTACTATCCTAGATTTCTACACAGATAAAAAGATAAAAAAAAAAATACAACATAAATTAGCGTGCCTTTCCGGGTCACATATACTGTAAACCTGGCAAATTAAAACGAAATGTGTGTAGTCTATTTCAGCGCTGTAATGTGTGGTGCTTTTAGTGGAATAATCGGTAAACACTTGTCAATTCAAATTTCGCGTGTTCCTTAGATGTTTATGTTCATTTATTGCTGTCTATTATCTGAATTAGGCATACAAAAAACGTACAAAATATAGCTGTCTTAGAAAATGACCTAACCAGACGAGAACAGGATCTACAAGTAACACAATACATAGCACGCAGGTAATACACTTGTTCAAAGTTGCATGGCCTGATATAAAACTTCATTACGAATGCTAGCTTTACACAATTAATACTATTATAAAGTAATAAAAATTGAAATAAACATATCCAAGCGTCTACAAACTTCGTCAAAACAATTTCTAAATGTTTAATAAGAATAGACATATTTTACTGCATCAATCCTCACGGACAAAACTGCTAACGCGTGAACATATAAAATATATAGTACAATGACAATATATATAACATGGTTTCAATTCACAAGGACATCACAAGGACAAAATTTGAGCTCATCTTTGAAGGACAACAAGGGAACAACGAAACAAAGGACAGGACATTAAGACATGGGGGTCTCAAAATAAAGGACAACAAGAACTGAGGGGCATTAAAACAGCTGATAACAGGAAGTTAGGGGACATCTAAATGAAATTTAACAGGAAATGAGGGGACATCAAAACAAAGGACAACTAGACTGAAGGGACATCGAAACAATTAATAACCGGAACTGTGGGGGCATCAAAAAGGACAACAAGAACTTAAAAAAACAGAACGACAAAGGGCAACATGAAATGTGGAGGCATCAAAACAAAGGACAACATGAAGTGAGGGGTATCAAAACAAATGACAACAGGAAATGAAGTGTTATAAAAACAAAGGACAACATGAAATGTGGAGGCATCAAAACAAAGGACAACATGAAATGAGGGGCATCAAAACAAATGACAACAGGAAATGAGGGGCATCAAAACAAATGACAACAGGAAATGAAGTGTTATAAAACAAAGGACAACAGGAAATGAGGGGCATTAAAACGAAGGATAACAATAACTGAGATGACATTAAAACAGATGAGAAAAGGAACTGAGGTTACATCAAAACAAAGCATAACAAGAATCAAGGGAAACCAAAACAAAGGATAAGTCATCACGAGCTCAAACCCGACATCAGGTGAACGCATTCCCTGTATCACGTGTGGCATGTATAATGATTTCCTCTGGTAGAAGTCAACAAAGAATGTATATCACCATTTACCTAAGAAACATGGTCAATGGGTTTAGTAGACACTGCATTAGTTTGAAATATGGTCATGTTGATAATTGTAAGCTTTAAACTTATAGTGAAGCCCCATTTCCTTTAATATAAGCTTATATTGAAGCTCGTAGTCCGTTTAAATCAACTTACATAGAAGATTCTGGTCCGTTTCATACATTTACGCTTGTAGTAGCAAAACATCCGAGTTAAAAAACTTAAGGTAAAACGGT